CGGGGCGGGCTTCGTTACCATGCGGAGGAGGGGGAGGGGAGCGCTGACTCACCCGCCGCGTCACTGCTGGTGGGGGGTGGTTCTCCTTAGCGCAACATGTCACAATAGTATACTTTTGCCATGTTATTTCAGAAGCTTTATCTTTTTTTGTGGCAGAAAATCTTCTCTGACTTATGGATTTTATAAAATTATTGCATGAGGGAATTAACACTTTGCCCACTAGGGGCCAATGAAATCATCCTGGGGTATTTGCATTGAAGCTACCACAACTAAAGAGGTCAGCTTCTTGTTGGCTACTTATCATTACATTTGTATCATTACATGGAATCAAGTGTGACAGTGATATTTGAAGGAACAATAGGCTTTCACATGATATAAACTTGTGGTCATTTGAAGATCATTTGAGAAGTGTGGGGTTTTCCATGTGGCTCCATTAATCCCCCAATCAGCATTGACATTTTTAGCAGTTAGTTATGTGGTCAGAAGGTTACATATTTAATTTTCAAGTTCATTTGTTATTTGTTTATTTTCCTGTTAGTAAATGTATCTCAGTTTTAACTGTGCAATGAACATAACTGAATGCACTGTCACACACATATCTCTCAACAATTTTCTGATAGCTGTATATTAGACAGGGTTTGAGGTGCAGTGTGGTGATACTAGAGGACATTAAGATGGTTGTGGTTATATTCTTCCTGTACTGAGGAAACTATGAGAAAACTGTGTACAGGCAAACAGGAAAGGTTGTTCCAATCAGATAACTAGTAACACATCACATAAGACTTCATAATACAGCATCAGTAAACCTCAAGGTAATTAACCGTTTATGCTTCTGGAAGAGTTTTAGTGATGCTGCTGGTATCAGAGATTACTGTCTTGCATTCCCCAGCTACCGTTATCTTCCCAAACTGTTTTACTGGCCAGATTACCACCATGAAGTCATAGGACCTTACACTGAAGTGATGGCAATGGCTGCAGTGAATCTGCAGGTGCTTCAACTGCTTTGTTACTTCTGCATTTTGATGATGTTATGAGGACAGTGTTTGGATTTACGAGAGAGGAAGTAGCAAGAGGATGGAGAACTTGCATAATGAGGACTGCTGTAGTTCGAAATCTTTACCTAATATTATTTGAGTAATAAAATGAAGAAAGATCAGTGGGAGGATCATGTAACACATGTGGAAATAGGAAATGCATTTAGAATCTTATTGATAAGTTTCATGTGAAGAGACTGCTTGGAAGACACAGATATAAATATGAAATCTGTTGAACTGTTTCAAGATATGGTCCAGTGGAAGGCGTTTATAACAATAAAAACGGTTTCATTCACATGAAAACAGGAAATTTCTTCTTCATGAGGAATACCTGAATACCTCAGATGTGAATAGTTGTAAGTGAAAATTATAATTGTATACGATAGATGGATCTCTGAGTCTGTACCTGTGTTGTAATTGGCATTTGTGACTGGCATTAAGCACCTAACAGTTGCTGATTATTGAGAAAATTGCTGTCTTACAACTAAATCTCATTCTGAAGTTGTTTTATGTAATTATTGCTCTTCTACCTTGAAGGTGGAGGCAACATGTTCTTCTGACATGTTGATAGTGATCTATGAGGCTATGTGCCTTCACATCCAACAGAACAGAAGAGATCTTCATTGTCACCACCATGATAACCTAAATCTCGCATACTATAAGTGAGTTTAAATTACAGGTTTACCTCTGAAGTACAGAAGTATCAACTGCATAAAGGAAGCTAGCAAGTGTTAGCTACAGTTCAGAAACCTTCGTAGATTTATGACTGTAATGTTCTGCCCTTTTTGCTTTAATTCCCACCTATGTCAAATTTATTCAGTGTAATTTACACATATTGTCAAATACCGAACATTATTTTCCATTTATTTTTCAGTAATCGCCTTACCTCTCACCAGTGCTTGGAACACCCGTGGTTGTCAGGGACACTCTGTGTATTTGACAGATTTCCAAGTACATGCCAAGCCAACACAGAGCTTACAGTTTCTTCAAGCAGTCCTAGAAGCAGCAGATCATATCATCCAGAAAGTAGTGATGTAAAGAGTCCAGTAGCAAATGGATCAATACAGTGCCATAGTTTAGAAACAAGCAGAGTAAGTGGAACAGACTGCTCCCTTGGTTTGTCAAAAGGTTGTAGATATGAGAAGGATGGAGTTTACAATTCAGACAACAAGGGTACTTCTCCCATGTTTAATATTCAGAATTATGGCACAAATATCGCTGATGGAGATCACAAGGCTGACAGTGAAGAAAGTGAAGAGCTCCCAGTTCAGAAACGCCCAAAGAATTCTTCTGAAGATAGGCGATCATCTGTATATCCTGTAGGACCATGTGTATCATGTGCCCAGTGTGGAGCTCAGTGCTGCCATCTCCACACATCAACACCAGAACTCTTACGCATAACTCGACAACATCGCCATTCCAGCATCAAGAATTCACCAGTCGAAATAATTGTGGACAGAGGAATCACATGCTAGACATTAGCAGCAATCAGTATGAACACACTGAAGAGAAATTATTTTGATTGCAGGAGACAGCTTTGCTGGTAAATGCTGTCCTGCTCCTTTAATTCATGAACCGGTGTCACAGGTTGCATTAGAAGGATATGGAATATCTTTCTTGCCCAACCCCTCAATTAATTTTTATGAATGTAGACATTGCTACAAGAACTGAACAAATTCCAGCTTATAACAGTTACTTGGACATATCTTTTTGGAAACCAAGGAAAATGCAGACTTGCAAAGAAATCACAGCTGGAGCATATGAGCATTATAATGTCTTTATGAAAGTGACAGCACTTTATGTAGCATACATGTGAATATAGTTTCTAGTAATAAACATAGTTGGAGATGATACTGTGTTGGTAACTATTAGGTCTATATCCCAGTTGCATGTTAGGACACAGCTGCCAGATGTTTTATTTTTATGATAGCCAGTACAGTTTTCATTGGTGAACAGAAATTCACAAAATAGTGAATGTAAATGATACAATAATATCAAATTCAATACAATGAAATTAAGAAAAAGCACTTTATGTAGTGTGTATGGTTTTAGTCTGTGCAAAAAGGATTGCTCCAAAGAATGTCTTCATATTCTGTGAAACTTAATATTGCATATATAAAAATGTGCCAATGAAAGTCTAATAAAAATGCACGAGTAGTGGATAATTTGTTGATACTTACATGCGTTTATAGTGGTTTTGATAATATGCAGTATACAGAGAAAAGAAGTTTGTGTCAAAGTCACAATCGGTTCAAGAAAAAGAAGGGAGAAAATTTAAATAAGAATCCAGTAATTTAAAAAGAAGTGCTGTTGTATCCCCCCCCCCCCCCAAGGTATTNTCATATTAGCACATAGAAATCATCTATGATGAATTGTCTTCTAATTTAAAGCTAATGATTGCATGAAATTAAATTAAGTTTTGTCTGTTTAAATATTTATGTATAAGACTGATTTATCTTCATCACTGTGAAGTTCTGCATCTTCCATTCATCAGCCTTTGACTGAATTATGGAATTTTCTCATGCATCACTCTTTAAAAGTTGGAATTCCCAATAAATGCTTTTATCTGTGTACCTTGATGTTTTTGAGCTTTACTTTCTGTGGAACCTCTTGATATTTTGAAATTGTTGGTCTTGAAGAATTTTATTTCAAGACACTTTGAATATTTATTAATGTTTGTAAAAAAGTTTTCCTTTCAATTTAGGACATACACAAATAGTGTTACTGTCTACATGCACTCAAGCAGTGAAAAGATTGATCATATAACTGAGTTTATCCAGTATATTTCGTTGGATTGTACTATTGAATCAAGTACAGATTTCTACTGATATTGCCCCCTTATTGCAAAATGCTTTCTTATGAATTAATTTATATATATTCTATAGCTTAGAAATATATATTAAAAAAAGTTGTTGGCTAGCAACATGGTTAAGTCGCTAAGAAATGTGGTACATAGAAAGTATCGTACTTTTAAAATGAAAAGAAAAATGTTAATGTATGTTGTGAAGTCTAAGAATCAACATTTCTTCCACTGTAGATTCTTGATTAAATTTAATAATGTGAGCTGTTTGTTAAAAAAGTATTTCTTGAGAAGTAAAGCATGCCAGTACTTTTCTCCATTGCTACAAGAATTCCAAGGAAAGAGTTCCTTGCCTCTTTTTTAATTAGTTTGTATCATAATTGTGTAGCAATTTGTTGTACAGTTAAAGTTAAAGTGTGTTTATTTACACTATGTTCCTAGGCCAAAGATAATAGTATGTTAGAGTTATACATTATTTTGCGGGTTAGAATTGTAAATTGTTCAAATGGTGAACACAGATATTGACATGCATTTGTAAAATGATTATTCCATGTGATTAAGAAATTTGAAATTCCATATACAACTTCACATTTTTCCTTAGCATGTGTCATTACAGTATCTTTTTATAATTGACATAATCAGATAGCCTGTGTTTAATTGTGGTAATACATACACTTACAATCAGTGTGATAACCTTTATGACCATTACAGTTACATTTAAATCTGTTCTATAAAATCCAAATATAATTAAATTACAAAATGAATAATAGTTGTTTGTGTGTTTACACAGGATTACAGATTTCTTCTCCATTTTCCTGAAAATCCTCAGGTTTGAGACTAAATAGAAGTTAAAATGGAATATTCATTGTAACATTCACAAAACTGAGGTTTCATCCAAATTAAATAATTTTCCTGGGGAGTAAAGCGTGGCCGGCGCGTAAGGCTGACAACCTTACCGCCATCCTTGAGCTGATTGTCTAGATAGTGTGAAACCCTCAACATCTCATAACCCTATGGGCCTTCATGGCCTGGTACAGGAGTAGCTTTACTTTGTTTACTTTTTATTACTGTTAAGTGGGGGAATCTTTTTGACTGTATTCTTTTCTTTCCACACACAGTACTTTCAGCAGAGCTGTGAACTGTAATAAATATGGCAGGACCTTTTTGTTTCATGCCTGTTTCGTAGTTGAAAGCATGTGCAAAGGAAGATTTTGAAGAATGACTGATATTGATTCAGAGGAAGAGATCAAAGATATTCCAATTTAAGATCCATTTTATTTTGAAGAAAATGATGAAGATTTAGAGTGGTGCCATAAACTTCTGATAAGGCAGATGCACGCCAGTTTGTAGGAGAACATAGTGGGCTAAACAAACCACTGCTCCCATTAAAGTAAATATAAAGTCCTTGTGCTTAACTAATGATGAAGATTGAGAGTGGTGCAGTAAACATCTGATAAGGCAGATGCGCACCAGTTTGTAGGAGAACATAACAGGAGTTAAATGATATAATGATACAAATTCCGTCCAAAGTGCAAACAATATATTATGTGTCCTTGATCTTGTTAACTATACTACATGTTTCGGCCTCAGACGGCCATCATCAGGTGTATAACACTCATGTCGCTGTCACACTGCACTCAGCCCAAAATTTAACATTTAAAACACTTTCCTTGTTATTATCAACATCTACTTCGTTAATATCTGTCTGGATGTAGATTATTTTACACACGTTAATTTTGATGTACCTGTAGTAGCACTATAAAATCTTTAGTTCTAATTTTAAAATCCTTCAAAATTTTTAATTTTAAATTGTTAGGGTTACTCGCCCTATGTCTAAAGTGCTGCAGCGGCTAGTTCTTGTTTCCACACTGTATAGGTGTATACGGAACAATAACAAAGGTAATGGAAGTTGTAACAATGGGAAAGAAGGGCAGACATTTGAATACATTAGAGAAATACCATATATATAAAATAAGTAAGAAAGGCCTACAAATGAATGATACACACATAGAAACACACAATCCCATATTTCAAACGATACACGAAATCTACACAGACTAACGGTACCTCTCTCTCCCCACTACCCATCCCCCCTACACTCACCAACATAAAACTCAGCACACAGTACATCTGACAACACATGTAGTAAAGAATAACAGCGGCACGCACACAGGAAGACTACACAGGGTAAGGACAAATACAATATAAACACATAAGAAAACATTACGTACACAAGATAATAATACGAATATATTTATATATTACAGATAACACCTATACAGTGTGGAAACAAGAACTAGCCGCTGCAGCACTTTAGACATAGGGCGAGTAACCCTAACAATTTAAAATTAAAAATTTTGAAGGATTTTAAAATTAGAACTAAAGATTTTATAGTGCTACTACAGGTACGTCAAAATTAACGTGTGTAAAATAATCTACATCCAGACAGATATCAACGAAGTAGATGTTGATAATAACAAGGAAAGTGTTTTAAATGTTAAATTTTGGGCTGAGTGCAGTGTGACAGCGACGTGAGTGTTATACACCTGATGATGGCCGTCTGAGGCCGAAACATGTAGTGTAGGTGAACAAGATCAAGGACACATAATATATTGTTTGCACTTGGGACGGAATTTGTATCATTATATCATTTATCATATGGAGTGCAACAGGATGCTAAAATATAATATTATAACAGGAGTATTCGTCAGTAACCAGAGTAACCAGTCAGTTGCAGTCTAGCATTTGCCAAAGTGAATGGAAGCAGGAGAAGTAATTGTGATAATGCCGATGGCAGTAGCTGTGAGATTGTAAATTGTGTAAATGTAAGAGTGAGTGGAATAAATTTGCTATATCCAAGATGGCGTGAGTTACTTGTCGCATGACATATACTCAACACGTGACAATATTCTGTTACTTTCCACTATGATGCCACATTGTTGTTTTCTCAAGATTCTTAAGAGTTGCATTCTGTGGAAAAGCAGAACCACCATTACATCTCAGAGAAGATCCTGACTACAAGATTGTGGAAAATCAGATGTATATGACATCCAAATTTAAAATGTGTAGAAGTTTGTCATCCATGACAGCATGTGGCAGTGGAAGAAGTAATCATAAGATTGAAATGGAAAATCATCTTTCAGCAGTATCTTGAAAAGAATTAAGAGATTTGGGAGAAACAAATTCACAAACTTTTTGTAAAATTTGGTTGCACATCTGATATCAGTGTCTATATCAGAAAATGGAGAAATATGAATAACACCATGGCATGCAGTACTATTTTTGGTAAGGGAAGCAGTGGTATCTAATAAACGAACTGATAGCAATCAGCTCACCAAAATTTACGTCACTTATTGAGTCAGTAAGGTTGTTTTGTACTGTGTTCGATAAACCTGTAAATACTGTACTGTTCTCAAGGTGAACATTGAGTTTATGATCATATTTCCTCAACAAGTGAACTAATTCCACATAATTACCTCGGTCGTAGAATCCACGCTTTCATCATGACCACAGAGGACAAGTTGCCTCTTTCCTAAATGGCAGATGATATCAATCAACTGTTTCATTATTTCTCTGTTTTCTTTCACATTTTCATTATGCTGTAGTATCGTCAGGTGCCTTTGATTGTCAAGTCGACAGTCAATTCGAGATTTCCCAAACATAACGAGTTGCACTGTTGAAATAATGTGAGTCTGAGAGTTCTTATGTTGTTTGAATGCTTTGTGAAGGTTGTTGATATCACCAAACCCAGTCTTTTTTCCATACATTTTTTCATTGAGAAACAATAGGCATGGCCAATAAAACAATTTTCCTATATTACAGCAACTAGATAGCCACTCTGTTTTAGAATACTGTTCCAAATTAAATTTCCTCACACATAATTTGGTTTGTGCTTTAAGTTCTGGCAACTCGCATGTCGGTCGTCCTCTTTCTGTAATTGTTTTCTTTTCAGAAAAGTCCCTGCTATTAAACCCCCGTTTAAAGGGCTTTCGATTGCACAGTCGCAGTCACATCTGTCAGCATTCATTTTATCTGTGCTCTGTGAGTGTAG